GGCGGCTCTGCAGGCCCCGAGCTGCCGCCGCTGGCGCCGGGAGACCCGGGGGGCGCGGCGACCGGCCCCGGCGCGCTCCTGCCGCCCTTCCCCCGCGCCGCGGGCGGCCGCGCAACTTGCGGCCAAACTTTCCCCCCGGCCTCCCGCGCTCGGATGGCGGCCCGCTAAGTTGGCCGCAGCCCCGGGCCAAACGGCGGCCAGGCCAGAGGGCGCCCCCTGCGCAGCCCGGGCCGGGCCATGGCCCGCGCGCCCCCGCCGGGGCCCCAGGGCGGCGGGGCGCGACTCCTCCGAGTCGCCGGCCCGCGTCTGTAGCGCGCCCCTCCCGGGCCCGGGCCTGGCCCCGCGCACGCGTGGGAAAGTTGGCCTGGAACCGGCCCGACCAGTTCCGCCCGGGCGCGCGGACCGGCCGCAGGAAGTTCCTGCAAAACTTTTTTGGGGGGTGCAGCCGGTGCCCCCCGCGCGCCGGGACCGGATGCGCGCCGGGTAGGGTCCCCCGGGCCGAGAGGGGTGCGTGGAGGGAAGAGCGCAGAGGGGGCGCCCCGGCCCCGCTGCCCTGGGGCTATGGCCATGGTGACCGGCGGCTGGGGCGGCCCCGGCGGCGACACAAACGGCGTGGACAAGGCGGGCAGCTACCCGCGCCCGGCCGAGGAGGACTCGGCCTCGCCCCCCGGTGCTGCCAGCGACGCCGAGCCGGGTGACGAAGAGCGGCCGGGGCTGCAGGTGGACTGCGTGGTGTGTGGGGACAAGTCGAGCGGCAAGCATTACGGCGTCTTCACCTGCGAGGGCTGCAAGAGCTTTTTCAAGCGGAGCATCCGCCGCAACCTCAGCTACACCTGCCGGTGAGCCCCCCCATCGGCTCACCGCCGCCGCGCACCCCGCCCTGGCCTGGCGGGCCTCTGACCCTCGCGGTCACCTTGGGCCTGGCGCTGACCTTCCCTGGGCCTCCACTCCCCTTCTGAGATAGGGGCACAGCACCACCACCCCCAATTCCATTCCGGGGATTGTGTATACAGTCGGTGCTGCATCGATGCAGGTTCCTCCCATCAGATGGTCCCTTGCGGCTTTCACCCCAGTTACTTCTTCCTCCTTCCTCCCTTTTCTCTGGGGAGGGGTCATCTCCGCGCGGGGAGGGGTTAGGGGTGCTGTCAGAAGTGGGACCCTAACCCCAGGGCACCCCTTCTCGGCGATCGCGGCCTGCGGGATCCCCCGGGAGAATCGAACGTGGAACTTGGACCGTGGAGCTCGCAGTGTCCAGGGGCCATTGTCTGCGGCCGCGCGGATCGATATGGCGCGCCCTTGGGGTCAAATATCACTTCCAAAGTCGCTCAGGCTACCGAAGCGGCAGCGGGAAGGAGGCCGGGTGGCACAGGGCGACCTCCTTCGCAAGAGGGGGCCCGGCTGTGGCGGGGAGCTGGGCCTGCCCATCAGCGGGGAACCCCCCTGGGCTCACCCGGGGCCTTGGGTCACCGGAAACCGCCACTGGAGGGCCGACAGGGCCACCGGAATTGACTGAACCGCCCCCCCACCCGGAGGTGGGTGCAGACCCGGGGCTCCCGGAAAATCCCTTAAACTTTGGGTCGTCTCTGAGGCAAGATGGGAGTGAAATGTTTCTAAGAAGGAGCCCTGGGCTGTCCCAGGTTGGAGTCCTCTCCAGCAGGGCGTGGCCTTGC